CACGTTACTTAAATTGTAAACACATAAATAAAATGTTAAATAACTATTATGATGTAGGAAAAAGGGTAAAAGTTTGTTAATTTCCAATATAATAAAATCAACATAAATTAATTTGCATAACTCATCCCACTTATTGTATAGGCAATAAACTATCAAGGTCGGGTCAAAGTACCGTACATCATTTTCCGAGAATATTTTTATTACTTGGAAGACTTAAAACATTGGCAAAAAAACGTAATATGAAGCGATATGGGGTACGGCACGCGCGGCATATGTCGCGACCCTACGCTACCCCACGACCGCGACACGCGAACAACTTTTCATGACTTTACTTGGGGTATTGTCCACTAAGACGCGAGAAAAATTATGAAATTTTCTATATATAGACTGTAAATTATATTTAAGTTTCTAATTTTTAAATAGATCTTGAAAAGATTTCTATATCGAATTTAAAATTGCTAAGGTATTTTAACATAATCTTGTCGAAAACTAAAAAATAATAACACTTATTATTTTAACAATGTTATCATAATATATTTGTGTCATTGGATATTTTAGAGAAAAAATAATTAATCGTTTTTAGAATTAAAAATAAGTGGCTATTACCTACGTCATTAGCCATTACGACACAATATTGATAAGAAAGCCAATAATTATAAAATACCATTGGTCAGCTGAACACATGCCACATGGCGGGAGCGGTCAAGCGCGCACGCCACGTGTCAAGACGTTTTTATAGCGAAGGGTCTTCAATTAATTGTTATTAACCCTTACACTGCTATTGCTCAATGATCGCATGTAATCTGATAGCAAATGGGCCCATTACACACCGCGTCGGGTTACTATGAACACTTGCTTACTCTTGCATCGCGGAAAATAAACCCTCCCTTCATACGTCAAGGGTTAACTGTGATATAAAGTCAGCAAACTTTTTGAAATATTAAACGGTTATGTGTGAACGGATAAGAAGTGTTTGAACAATCTTGTCTTTTAGGCTCAGCTTTTAGAAGTATATTTTTTGAAAATAGTGTGATAAACAACCTTAGCTTTTATTTTGTTTTGTTCCCTCTTATGTTTATTCATTTCTTTTAGTCAACATAAAAGATGATTTATCTTATTTAAGGAACATCCCCACTTCTGCATAACAAACTAATAGATAAATTTATGATCATTGGAATAAGCTTTGATTTTATACACGAACACTCTTACACTGCAATTGCATATACGTGATAAATAACACGTGACATACACAACGTATGCATTCGCCTCTGAAAAAGGAAATCCCTGGGTTTATCATGGTCTTGCAGGCTAAAGGGTAATTCCCAACATCCGATAAATTTATATTAACGAGTGTATCCAAACATCTGTTACAAACATCTTGTCTATTTTAACACAAAGTAGATCTTAAAGAAGCAATTTATCAGGCCAGTTTAATTAATAAATGATTCGACGCTTGCAGACAGTAGCTTTTCCAGCTCATTTGATGATTAGTAAAGTTTAGAAGCGACACAAATTATCCATTGTCGGACATGATTTTGATGTATTACTAAATAGATTACACTGAATTAATTAAACTTTAAACGCTAACACTTTATAATATCGCGTGACGAAGCAGTTTAGTATTGGATAAAATAAATATAATATTTTAAAGTCTATTAACTGTGACATGTCTAATGATAAATAAATATAACCAAAAGAAAACTCGTTCAAAAGATACAATAATTGTTCCTTTTCCTCAATATTAAAATGATATTAGGATTATTTATCACCTAAGAGGAACAATCAAAAAACTAAATAAACATAAAAAGGGGTCTTGACAGACAGATGGACAGACAACGAAGTGATATTATAACGGGTCCGTTTTTTTCCTTTCGAGTTACGGAACCCTAAAAATGTTACAAAACTATTAAAGCTGCTAATGATGCTGATAAACGTTTTATATATCATCAGTGTCGGAGCCGTATGTATAGTCAAGGCTGGAAGGATTTACGATCGCGTGGAGAACATACTTTATGGCTTTCAGACTGTAACCGGACGGCATTATAGATACGGCCCGTTGGATAGGAGGCAAGTTATGTCCAACTCGTAATATTTATATTCATGTTCTCAGATACACTCTAATGTCACTTCATTTAAGAGGGTCAAGTAAGGATAATGCTACGAATACGGCTGCATATTAATGTACCTGTTGTCTTAGAAGTGCCAATATTAAATTTATTACTTCATAAAAATATCGTATTAAAATATCACAAAAAAACTATAAAATACTAATGTTCATCCTCGAACATTCATCCACAACACTAAAAGAAAAATATAAAACTTTACATTTCTACCTGAAAGTTGCGGTTAAATTGACGATGAAAACGTTTTATATTGTACTGCCTGTCAGTCTTACGTAACCCATTTAACAACGATATAAAGCATAATGGAGGTGGCTTGTGAGCATGGAGCGTGGCTTACAATACGCTGGAAGCTAGCAGTGCGAGCAGCGGCAGTTTACGAGGCAATGTGGAGCTCGAGGCCGGGGAGGCAGACGAGCCGGCGACAAGCCACCCTCAGGGCTGTCTCACGCTTTATTATCCGCTCATCGCTAGGAGAAACTTTTTCATACACCGATTAATGCCGTCACGATAACTGAGTTACAGCAATTTATACTATACTAGTTTTTGCCCGCGACTCAGTCTGTTCATGTTCTACATCTATGCCAAATTTCAACGAGTTCCTTTTAACTTTTTTGGTGATACGTAATAACAAACCTCCTTCCTTTCCATCCAACTTAAAATTAAGATTTATACTTGCTGTTGCTAAGTTCATCTAAATGGAAATATTGCAAAAATTATAAATAAACTGTAGCTATAAACAATTTTTGAATAGTCAATATTTTTAACAGCTGACAAAATTTGCTTTTCTTAGCTGTTAGTTTTTCTTTACTTTAACAAGATGAGTTGCAACATCATAAAAACAGTAACATAACTTAGAAGAGAAATATGTCATCCCTAGTGTTATTTGTCGCAGCGCAGAGGCGTCGCAAATTGTAGACAGCGCTTCACCGGCTGAATGATGCTCCACACAAACCGCGACGCTTTCTAATTGAAGTGCGAATTAAGTGTGATAGCAATGTGCTCGCGTATTATTTTTACTTTTCTTTTGCTACTGTAATGTCTGTACAGTGTAGACATAAGATAGATTGCTCCTGTGATGGATTGCCTTAAACCGTCTGTGGATTGGTCGTGATTTCCTATGAGGTGGGGTTAGTAGGGTGTTCGTAGATTTTATGTTTTAAGTACTATTTGATGAAGTAGTTTGATACGCTTAAATTATAGCATAATTTAACCATTTCTTGCCTAAAAATAAAGCGAAACATTAATTAGCACAAATAAACAAGTACGTACTTAAGTCGAAAAGTTAACATATCTTAAGTACCCCTGTCTCTTATGAACTTCTTCAGCGCACTAATGGAAAGACACATTTTATAAAAAAAAAGTTTACTATTATAAATACCGAAACAAATGCTAACCCCAGTCCCCTACAAAACTAATATGTAACATTTATATAATCATTTCCATAGTTAATGGCGATATGATTGCAGAGTTCTGCAAAAGATATTTCTACATTATAACAAAATAACATAGGTTTGTCAAAGTAATATCCCGTAGCCTAGTTAGAGGCTACGAAGTTGTGCTACGGCGCTTTGTAGCGCTACGTGACCGGGTTACTGCTGATAGATGATGCTATACCCCGCTATGTCGCAGAGATTTACACTGCATATTAAATAATACGAGTTGTAAGTCATTCATATTTGGTCGTGGTGTAGGGTCATTTTAATGTGACATGAATATATTTGTCACGCTAAAATACGAGTACATTTGCTTTTCTTATAGATTTATGGGATGAAGTATATTTTCTGATAATTAAAACAAGATTACACTACTAAACAGTAGTTTAAACTTAACAATATAGTAATATTGTTAACTTGTGATAAGAAAAAAAAATCATCCTATTGATAGAGAAACGATAGTGTTCAGTTTGTGTATGTGTTCAAAATAAACTAATTTTTTAAGCTGATAATATCATCACATTCTAAACGATATCGTTAACTCTGCCAACGATTCTATACACAATGTGTGATTTGTTACATGTTGATTTAGTACAAGATAACGTATTCTGATTGGTTAAGGAAACACATTACGTTTCCTTCACATTATTGCAATGTAATATAGTAATAGATGGTGACGTATCTACGAATAGTAATCAAATTAGTGATGAATATTTAAGCATCTGTATTCTTGCTGAAGGCGTGTAAGCTATAAATAATGCTACTGTTACATGTTTCAAGTGCGCCGTCTTTCGATCGATAGTCGAGGCTGCGTCTTGGTTTTTCGGAGTCGTCTACATATCGATTGTCTGAATGTAGGCCACTACTCGTTTATTGCTTCGTAAATATTCATTCCTTCGGCGAAATGATAATATCAGTTATGGCCAGTACACAAACAAATGGCAAGTTAGTGCACACTAAAATTAAGCTATATTTTACGATTTTTCCGTAATTGATGATGATAAATGAGTTTCTAATGTGATTATTGCCTTTTGATGTGGAATTTGATATGGTAATTTAATTCTATTTGTTAGCTTAAGATTTAGATCCATAAATTTTGTAATTTTTATGCACGAAAATATTTGTTTTCGTTGACCTTGCATACTTTTAAAATAAATTTTCTAGCTTTCGTATTAATTAACTGTAGTTATTTATAATGAATTGGCCTTGTGCGAGTTCTTTTTCACTAACAAAAACTTACACATTTCATATCTTTGTTGAATGTTAATCATTTAAAGATATTCAACCTTAAGTTAGGTTAATCTGCTCCATTCAGTCTTCATACCTACAATAGTTTCTCATACTTTGACTTAGCACATTGGTCTTACTCTCAATATCTTACTCTTGTTATAACGTGCATTTTATATGTTAGTGTGTATATGTAACAGTTTGTGTCTGTGTGCAGCCACCGAGCTAGATCTGCTGGGCGCGCTATCGCTGCAAAACACGTCGCACGCCGGCGTCAGCGCCGCGCAGGGCATGCAGCCGCAGCGCACCGCCTACACCCTGGAAGGTAAACTACTTTTTTTAATTTAAGATATGGTTAATCTCGCCCTGTAGCAAATGTGGACGGACCCAAATCAAGTCATTCATACACGTGTTTTTCAAAAATCATTACCGTTCCTCTATATCTTCCTTCTTACCTTAAACCTTCTCTTACCTTGGGCTTGCTACTTACTTAAAGATTTATGGTAGAATATAAATAGTGTTAAAGTGTAAGAAAAGACACTAATAAAATTACCTTTAAAATCTTTAGTATTGCGGATATAAAACTTAACTCATAAAATGAACAATGAAGGAAGACAGAAGTCATCAAACTGCATACAAAGCAATAGAGGAAACATTAAAGTTTGTATCATATAAAGTATGATAGGAGTTAGGGGTGGTAATGGATCACGCTGTCGGTGCGAGTTTGCAATCCATTTCAGCTGCAATTCCACTTAGAGTATCGTATAATGGCCGACGTTGAGGTGTGCCTCTTTACATTCTAATGCACCGGCCAATCAAACGTGCGCCAACACTATATCAAACAGCAATAACTTTAACGCAATCGAAGAACTTTCCGAGCACGCCTCTTTAAAACTTATTAGAACTCTTTCATATATTCAAAGTTTGGACATTTGAAAAGTTTCTAGTTTATTTGAAGATAGTTTAATGATTATTTAAAACTTTAGATTTACAAATCAATTCTTTTTTCAAGAAAAGCAAACTGCAAACGTACAACGGATAAAAGGAAAAGGCAAACGAAACAAACCCGCTCATGGCAATACAATTTATTACTGAAAATATAAGAAGAGTTTGATAAATTATCCATACATAAAACTGTCAAAAAGATTGTTTCTCTTTATGGAGGAACGTTTTAACCCTCGCTTTGGACCTCAATTGTTTTGAGATACAAATATTTTGTTAAGAAGTACATTGGTTGCACTTCCGTAGGGCGCAGTGGAGGGTTCAAGTTCATTGTCTCTGCCCCTTGATTTGATGAACGCAATATGCACCGGATTGGATGTGAATGGCTCGTGTTGGATGCCAATTCTCCGCGCTTGCTCACACCAAAAACAAATTGCGAACTTTTCTGTTTTAACCCTCACCCTAACAGAACTATGATTAATGATAAAAACGTTTCTATGTTGTTCAGTTATTTGTAAATAATTATGTTCCTCAATATTAGAAAAAAAAATACTTCCAAGAATAGGATTTTAATTTTATTTTTAAATAGAATTCTCGAAACACTTTTAAGTGCATCGTGCAAGTGCAAATATTCACGTAGACGTCTTTACGTAATTTTATTTCCGTTTTAAATATTCACGAAGAACTCGCTTGCTTTATAATACACATGTTTTATAGCTGATAACATTACCTAGTCATAGTTATTACATTTATTGTCGTTATTTTTTTTTTAATTTGATATTATTTTAAGAAACATGGCATCATGAGTCACAGTACATACTTTGAAAAAATTTATAAAACACATTTAATTAATTTTGATAACGGAAAAAATCTATTTAAACGCATTAGTGATTTTTTTATCAACACAAATAACACTTAATCCCGGAATCCCCTGTGACGGCTGAATATTTATTGTAGTACACAACATATGGATCAAAGCCGTTACAATTCGGCGACGTGATGAGATTCGACGCGTGTAATCCCAACGCGGTGTCCCTTTGAACGAGCCATTACCAATAAAGGGCCACGATCCCCGCGCTTAAATGTCCCCGCAACCCGTACGTGCGAAGTGATTATCTCGCCGCGGGAACACGGAAATTTGTACCCGCTGGGGATAGAGACGTTATTAATAAACCTTTTACCAATAGAATAAATTGTAGGTTGTTGTTAAACTAGAGATTCATGTTTAAAAGTAATTATGACTTAGTGGTTAAAATACCAGAGAAAATATTATCGGATATCAGTGTAATTTTTGTGTTATTCGAATCCATTTTAGAGCTCAAAGACGCGCGTGTAACCTTACTTTGCTTTGCTTTTAAAATTAACGTAATATACAAAAAAAATATCTTTGCAAATCATTTTAGCATTTTAGCAGTAATTAGTTAATTAATTTTCTTATTCTGCCAACTTAGTGACGTGGCGTATTCATACGATTCACTTAAGCTCTGTATAACAGACCATTAGAGGAGTTGCGTAAAGTCCGCGTAATTGTCGAAGGGTGTCAGTAATCGTGGGGCCGAGGGGTTGTCGTCTCCTGCCATGTCAAATGTCGTAGCACTAGCATCGCGGCTTAACTCCATTGTCCGTGGCTGCGTCTGGAAACCTTTAATGTGACCATAGCTTCCTAACAAGACAACTGTTATGTACGGCAATCAATTGTAGTATTTAATCCTCGCAATGTAGAAAATACAGCATAAATGAATTTAATGCAATATGAAATAAATCATTTATGGTTTTAATAGCTATAATATAAATGCTTAAGGGGACATTTGTCGTTACAATGAGCAATGGGCATCAGTCATAAGCAGAAATCTGTAGATGACACGGCCGCAGCGAATATTTATTGAAATTCTTCTGCAGACTACGAATAGGAAATTTGCCGTTATTGTATGTAAAGGCGTTTGTTATTTGCAAAAAATGCTGAAATATGGATTGTTTCCATGTTTAAATTTTATTGTTGTCCTAGAAATCTTAAAGTAAAATTAAACTTTCTCATGTTTGTAACAGCATAAAAATATAGCTAAATACTGACTTTTACTTATTTTCCGTTCAATAATTTTTCGTAATTTTTAGCACTACAATATTTTCTCAGTCAAAGAAATCGCTGTTGGTTATGACTCTTTAATCGAATAATTTATTTAATAACTATAATCATAGTAAATGTTATAGGCAGTTATAATGAAGTGTTGATTTCATAAGCATCGTATATTAATAACCTTTGTTGTGACGTTTGCTTGTTTCATTGCACGAACGCCCCGTGCTCTGCGACACGCAATGACTAGCGCGGTGACCCGGCGTTACGTGTCCAGTCGTGCGAAAAAAATGCATCACTGCTTGGGGACACGATAATAAATCTTTCAATCGCAGTTGCAGTAATGAAAATAAGAATATGAAACAAATAAATAATGCTGACAAAAAAGAAACCGATAGCAGATTTTCCTGATTGAAGACAAAATATAAGCTTCATCAATCAAATCGATAAGATAAATAATTGAAACCAAGTTCTGAGCTCGTTGGAAATAACAAACTTTGAATTTCAAGTTTAAATAAGAAAACTTAGCGTTCTGATATAAAGTATACCAAAACTAAACTTTAAAATTATTTAATAAATGTTTACTTTTACTTGTCAAGCAATAAAGTCACCTACACACTATTTCACACCAACAATAAAAGCACACGCATTATGCGCCTCAATAAAGCGACCATGTGCAATTCTCTATTATTCGCAGGTGACAAATTCGTACGGCCAGAAACATTATGTCCCCCACGTACAGCGAGGGGACGACTTACGCTAGAGAAATAAACGATATCCAATAAATAAATCCACTGCGAGGGGTTTTCAATAAAGTGTTTGCATAGACTCGCAAATATTTATCTGTCACAAAATTTGCTCGCCTCGGTGATTTAATGAAAGCAAAACAAGACCGAGGGTTGTGGATGCATGATAACAGTCGGTCATTACGACCCTGCTACAGATTATATTTTAAATTTGTCGATGCAAATGCTATGAATGAAATTGCTTGGGGAGCATTTGATAAATGTGCGGCCAAACATAATAAAATTGAGCTCGGTTGTGTTATTTCGCTAATATTCCTGTAATTCATTTTGTACGGCTATTAGAAGAATGTCTGTGAAATATGGTCCGATATTAAATTATTACCGTTTCATGAGTTAAAATTATGGTGCGGAATTTAATAATTTTGCTCTTTGTAATTTAATAATTAATAAATATTTTACCCAAGAGTAAGAAATAATATTAAGAAATATTTGGAGCCTTTGTACAAAAAGTTATAACGTTCCATTTAATGTCTTCAATATTATAAATTCTACAACTGTTCGGAAGAGGTGTTTTTACTCCACAAAGGAGTCTTTAAGTCTCGCTTTTATTTTTTTGTCTACATTTCTCGGGCCTCGCAAGTGTTGAATACTTCTAACAAGAGTCTCCTTTAGGTTTCTTTCAGACTGTAAGCCTCAAAGCCATTATTCTAAGAGATTTTTAAAACTTTTATAAAGACAACAATATAAATGCCACATTACTCCTGATTTTCTTTGAAAAAAAACCCCAGAAAATATTCTTTAGTTGAAATGTACGGTTAAGATTTTGTACTATATCGCAGGTATCGTAGAATAAGTAATGATTCAAAACAATATCTATTAGAACTAAAAGTATAATCCGAATATCCATCTTAAGATCAAAGCAATTTACTTCACTTTAATCCTCACATCTCAACACAGGCGTTAACACTTTGAGTGCCGAGATTAATAAGCGTGTAGGGATTTACTTTACACGAGGGGTTGACTTTGTAAGCGTGCCACCTTTCGAGCTGCCTCTTTACATCTTGAATATGCGATACAAAAGAAATAGAAAGATGTAGAAAAATTCAATAGTAAATTTTTTCTTGACGAAAGAGAAAACTTAATTAAATAAATTGGCAATGTAAAGCTTCGCGTAAGTAAAATAAATTGAAAGACATTGTTTACGTAAACTAAGCTCATTTCTTTTCAAAGTACTCGTCTCGTCTCTTCATATTTTGTCTATTAGGGCTGTAAGAAAGACGAAGTGTGTGCGCGGTCAACGACCTGCAGGCGGGGATGCTCGAACTATTGCAGTGTAATTGAAAATTCATGCGGATGCAAACATTCGAAGATATTACACTTGGGCAATATTGAAACTTTGAATAATGCAATTTCTAGAACGAGTTTAAAATCAGTGAGAAATACAATATTCTTTAATAGAACAAGTAAAATAGATTCGGCTGTTTCAATTTAAAAATCGTTTTCATAATGGAAAAACATTTTCATTTGATTTTCTTTCATGTTCATATCGTTTGCTTTATCTTTTCACTGTCGAATCATACCGATATTATTTATTTTTCTTTTCTTAATTTACACGATCGTCGTATCGTGATATACCTCTCGGGAAATACCCATGAAACCTTCGATAAGTTTCGTAACTGTAGGCAGAAAAGTAAAACGTGCCCGCCTACCGGGCGCCCGTCTCCGTCTTGAGATGTGTAATACTGCCTATTTCTGTTATTGTTCTAATATATCTTTTTTCAATTCCATTGCTTAGTGACACATCTAAATTACATATCGATCCTGTGTTTACTTTGAAAATAAGCTATTTGCGTTATTAAATATCCTCGTTTCGTAAAAGTATGGAATAAATTAGTGACCTTTACTATTTCTCTCTATATTTTGTTAATCATTTCAGACTGATTTACTAAACTAATGCCACGTCTTGTCTTACACATCAGAAATTGGCTATACGAGGTTTATGATTCATATTTGGTGTGTATAAAATCCGTTTGTATGTTGAAACAATTGAAAAAGTCGGCAGGGAGCGGCTGTGCGCTGTCCCTTCCCTGCTCCCTGCACACAAGTTACCCTCACCGCGGGAGGCTATCACGTCATTCATGTGCGATATTATTTCGTCATCCCTCGCCCTACCCAAAGATTTAAATCTCACCGTAATAAATATTTCATAGATCCTTTGATGTTTCGGGTAATCTTTTAAGCGAAATTGTACTCTTATTACCATGACATATTCTCATATAATAGTCATCAAAAGATAGATCTATTTGTAAGATAATTCACTATCTAATAATTAGTTAAAAACAACATTTTAACAGTGGTAGAGCTCGCTTTAACATCTTCTCACGAATTGACCCGGCTCGCCCGGTGAAATACCACGACCACACACAAGACAGGCGTGAAGTGGAAGCAATTCCGCATTTCGTCTGATGAGTGTGCGTCCCGGAGGCCTAATTTAGTCCTCTTTCCCTTCCCACCCTTTTTCTTATACGGAAAGGATGGGAAGTGGAAGTGAACTTTCCTGATGAGAGGATGCATGGGAAGGGAAAATATTTTCTTTCCGTGCATCCTCTCCTCCGTCGATTAAAGGTAAGCAACGCATATGCAATTGCGTGTGTCTATGGGCAACGGTCACTTCGCTATTTCAGCGATTTCAGGTGGCCGCTCGCTCGTTTGCCACCTTATGATATAAAAAACATAATTAAAAATAATATTATAATAAAGCAACTTTGATAATCTAGAAACGCAGAGTCTAAATGGTAATATTAACCACCATAGGTAAACTTTATAAGTGTATGAAATGAATTTATAACAGGTGATAACTTAATTCAAGGTTTATCCAATTAAACCGTTCTACCGGATCACGATATTTTCAACCTTTGTTGGCTGCAGTGCTATAAATTTCGATAATAATCAAAATAGTCAAGCTACCGTAATGTTGTGCTCTGGGCCATTTTAATAAGACCAGGCGGCGTGCCAAGAAAATTAATAATACATTAATAGTTAGTTAAAACTATATTTAAATCTAAGGATTCATATAAATCTTGCAAATAAGATTCTAGCTTAAAACTATAACACTTACGCATCTTGCGATGTTATTATAGGTATACATATGTTGTCATTTATATTTTAGAACCATATCGGTACCTTAAATTCTTGCAAACTTTTTGGCAGGCTATGCCTTAAAGATGCTGACTCGTAGTGTTGAATGTTGACAGCACTGGTTCTTACCCGTTTTGTAAAATTACAGGTGATTCGCGGTCGCTGCAGGTAGAGGGCGCAGCATTCGAGCGCGCCGCAGAACTGCTGCGCCGCTCGCCGGAGTTTACGATCCTGGCCGCGCTGCGCCAGGAACCCGCCAACTCGGGCACCATACTCTCATTTTCCCACGGCTATAACAGGTGCCCATCTCACTCTCCTTTCATATTTCGTTAGTCGCCTCGATGTTACGATGTCAAGCTTGTTATTAATATTAGTTTTATTTGCATGTTAGTTTAAGGATTAGGTAAGTCAAACTCCTCGGTCAAAGAGTTAAATTAATTATAATCAGTTAGAGTGACTACTATACATTTTGGTCTTATAATTAACAGTAAGTATCTATAATACTTAGAACATTGAGTGTCATTTGTAAAATCGTCATCTTTCCACATTTGGATAAAGGTCATATTTTGCTGTAGGTACAGACAATCCAAAACTATTTGTCTTTTTTCAGAATATCAGTATCTTGGCATATTGATTTGCGGTCTGTCGTTCGTTTTCCACTTGAAGTGTTTACAAAGAAATAAGTTTTAATACTGACAACTAATTTGATATTCGGTTAGGAGTAGAAGAGCGACATGACCGCCGAGAGCGAGGGCGGGTGGCGCCAGAGGGCTCCGCGACAGCCGGCGCGGGGGCGCGGCGGCGGCTCCGGTGAGTTCTAGATCTCAACATCGCTGCGCGCGCACGCACGCCGCCTCATGACGCCGCGCGCCGGCCGCTTGCGTGCGCGCGCCAGGGGAGAATCGTGTATCTTGGAATGTCCTGTGCCTCGGAATGTCCTCCTCGACCTATCCGTTGACTTTATGCGTTCACTGTGACCTCTGCATGTCCGTGTATGTGCGTGGGCGGGCCGACTTGCATGTGTCCCCCCGTGCCCTTTCCGTCTACCGTCTTGTGTTATGTGTCTTGACGTGTTGTGTTCTGTATCCGTTCGACCCCCTCACAACCGACTCAATGTTTACCCGACTATTAGTGTTCGATGTTCAGCAGTCGGCCGCGGGCCCGCGCTCGCACCGAGGGGGCGCCGCGGGGATCTTCAGCACTTGCATTCCAAGCGACATGAGATTCCGTGTTGTGCATCTCGTATTGTGTCTGGATAAACCGATCAGCTTAGGTGCGTCGCTCTCCGGTCACTCGAGGAGCTCGACGACCGCGAGCAGCACGTCGCTCAATGAAGAAAGCCCCTCGGAGCTCCACTACAGACACATAACGAGGCGCGTTCTGTTTCTTTATAGCCGTCGATCGGACACGCAGTGACGACTCGGTCGTCACCGATCGCAATTCGTTCCGAGGTACATGGTCCCCCATCCTGACCGAGCGATATTGAGATGTAGAGCGACCCGAAGTCCGCTCGCCGCCGGTCGCGTCCTCCTTCCGAGTATGTGTGTTGTTTGCTTTGTTTATGTGTACCTCGGAACAGTTCGCGAGGAGGCGGCGGTCGCGCGCGTTGCGACATGTATTGCATCAGTGTGGGTGCACAGGTACCTGGAGGTGCAGTCGAGTGGGCGCCGCGACGAGGTACGGCTGCACTACGTGGCGGCGGGTGCGGCGGCAGCGCGCGTCGAGACCTTTCCCTTCCGGCTGGCGGATGGCGCGTGGCACCGGTTAGCTCTGACCGTGTCCGGCGCGCAGGCGACGCTGCTGGTTGATTGCCACCCGCTCTACCGCCGCCTCATCCCGCCGCCCGATCGCAACTTCTCCCAGCCCCAACTAGCGCTTTGGGTGGGGCAGAGGAATAGCAAGCATTCCCTTTTCAAGGTACGGACAATTAATCTAAATAAAATATTTGCAGTATGTAGAATGCCTAACCTTTTCATAATTTAAGGGTACTCTTCAAGATGTGAGATTAGTGAGTGGACCTCACGGTTACCTGGTCCAATGTCCGGGATTGGATTCAGAATGTCCTACGTGTGGACAATTCGCTTTACTGCAGGCTACTGTGCAAGAGCTTACGTCGCACATCCATGACCTTTCACTTAAGGTAAGATTTCTTGTCCATATCAGCTTTCTTGTACATATATGTTGTAACAGCAACAGTAGTATTGAGAAATGAATAATATTGCAGTTGGTTGGTGCTGAAGCCAGGCTCGCTCGGTTGGAGCAGTGCGACTGTCAGAAGTCGTGCTACTCCAACGGTACGGTTCACGCCGACGGTGCCACGTGGCAAAGAGACTGTAATCGTTGCTCCTGCGTGGTAAGTTTCTTCGTATCTCAAAATTTCTTGAAATGGTAACGTGTGTCGAATTTGTATATCGATAGAATAATAACGACTTATGTGTTTACAGCACGGCGAAATAACGTGCAGACCAGTAGAGTGTGATAGAGTAGAATGTAAGAATCCAGTACTGCATCCAGGAGAATGTTGTCCTACTTGTTTAAGTTAGTATTTGCTTTTACAATATTATACGATTATTATTTTCAAAGTAATTGCTGTCTAAGTCTATGAAATTATAATTGTTTGTTAACCTATTAATCCTAATAACTTAGAAACTATAGACGCTACAAGACCTTTCCAAAATAAATTTGTTTTCTTGCAGCTAGAGTGTATATTACTATGTTTAAATTTGACCGAAATTGAATTAACTTACTATTTTACAATGATTGCAGGAAGGTGCCTGCTGCAAGGCGAGCTGTATGAGCATGGCGATCGGTACGCACCGAAGGAATGCGCGGAGTGCGTGTGTCACGATGGCAACATGCAGTGTACGCGCACCGACCCAGACACCGCCTGCCCGCCGCTGCCATGTGATCCTGCTGACCAGTTCACCGTTCCCGGCGAGTGCTGCAAATTCTGCCCAGGTACATCTTCCATATATCAACATTATAGCAACCAAAAAACTCATCGTCATGATTATCACGATAATAGACTATTCCGCTCTCATAAAATGATTTCCTGTAAAATAACTAAACGCTGACTGGAAGACCATCAAATCTCATACGCATCATAATAACTATTTCCAGGTGTCGACTATTGCAGTATGGGACACTCGTGCGATGAGAATGCGACGTGTATGAATCTCAATACAAAGTATACTTGCAAGTGTAATCAGGGATTTCGTGGAGATGGACTTACTTGTGAAGGTGAGTAACGAAAGTTATTGAATTTAGGGGGCCAAAAAGCTCCAACCGATGAAAAGTTAAAGCAAGCGGTTGAAGTTAAAAAGCGAATTAGTCTTTTGTCTCTTGAAGTTGGTATTTTACTGGCTCAAATTATTGACATATATCAACATTATTTTAAAATATGTTTCCAGATGTGGACGAGTGCCAGGAGGCGGGCGGGCGCTTTGGCCACCACTGCCACTCTTTCACGCGCTGCGTTAACGTGGTCGGCGGCTACGTGTGCCAGTGCCTGCCCGGCTACACCAGGCGGGACAAGTTCAACTGTGTTGAGGTACGCACTAACATATATTACTTATTTCATAAGATTTACAAACCAAACGTAACAAAGAACGGAACTTTTCGTGTGTGACAGGTGGACGAGTGCTTGGGCTCAGAGCACGGCTGCCACGCGCACGCCGAGTGCACCAACACACCCGGGTCCTACACCTGTCGCTGCCGAGATGGATACACCGGCGACGGCTACACTTGCACGCGTAAGTTACATATATTCTTATAAGGAGCAAACCCCTCTAATTGGCAGTTAAATCAAACAGATTCCACTGTTACTACCACTACCATTGGTCATGTCGCAGTGTCAGAACTTCCAGGTCTTTTATATTACTTATGATGTTGGTGTGTTAATTGCAGCGATCTGCACGGGCGGGTGCCTGAATGGCGGCGTGTGCGCGGGCCCGGAGCGGTGCGCGTGTCCGCGCGGCTTCGGTGGCGCGCGGTGTGAGCGGGACGAGGACGAGTGTGCGGCGCGCGACGCGTGCGTCCCGCGCGCGCTCTGTGTCAACACACCCGGCTCCTACTACTGCGTGTGCCGCGACGGGTACCGCCGCGACCCGCACCGGGAACACTGCCAAGGTACTTACCCTCTACGACAAGTTACTATTTGCATTGCGAATACTCCCAAAACCATATGCTTGTGATCATTTGCAATCTACACTAATGTTTATATTATTTAAAAGTTATGCGTTCCTTTACATTCTTTAACTTTGTGTGAAACTGTAACCACGAATTGATAATCTCTGGTCATTTATTTTATTGGTGTTGCTTTTCTTATTCTTTGACGTGTTTCAGATGTAGACGAATGTACAGAAGGACTGCACACGTGCCACCACAGCGCGCGCTGCGTCAACACTGAGGGGAGTTTCAAGTGTGAATGTGATACAGAACCATGTCAATTAAGTTAGTATTAATCAATTCGTTATTGCTTTGTAAAATTACAATTAAGCTATAATTTCAAAGACGGTTGCTTGCCACCGTTTGTCAGGCATTACAGATAATATTTGTTTTCCGCAGGCTGCCTGTGGCAGGGGCGCGAGGTGGCAGACGGCGCGCGCTGGCCTGAGGGCGGCGGGTGCCGCACGTGCCTTTGCGCTGCGGGCGTCGCCTCCTGCGTGCGCGCGCCCTGCTCCTGCGACATCTCGGGCAACACTTCGCTTTCGGTTCGCTTATAATCTTACTTAACCTTGTTGAATGGTCGGTGATTACTTTCTAAAACTACGGATAGATGGTTAAATGGTAACTGCGAACTTTGTAAGAAACGAATTCCAAACGTTATAAATTAATTTAATGCTGATGTGGTAAAAAATGTATTGTGCGGTGTTTACACTGTACACGAACAGTATAAATCACTATCTATCGTCTAACAATTTACAAATTTTACGAAGCGAAGGGAAAACTAAAGTAGTGTTTTCACCTTTAAATGATTGTGTTGTATTTTGCGCGTGTTATAACATCAGTGAAGTTGTATGTTGTACGTTCGTTGTTGTAGCTGGAGAGCACAGAGTCGCTACCGCGCGCGCCAGCGGCGTGCTGCCCACACTGCGAGCCGCGCTACCGCTGCCGGCATCAAGAGATGCACCACGTCACCTTCCGCAGCGGCGAGCGCTGGCTCTACCAGTGCCAGATCTGCGAGTGCCTTGTTAGTACCTAACTACTCCATACCCTAGATAAATTGGTCGCATATCATCATCAATCAGACACGTACCCTTTCATTTATAATACGTAAGTAGTACTTGCTCAGAAGTCGATTTTGTTGTTATAGCGTTATTATTGTATGTGATTTCAGTTGGGTGAGGTGGACTGCTGGGAGCCAGAGTGTGAGGCGGCTGGCGGCGGGTGCTGCGCGGACGCGGGCGGCACGTGGCGCGCGCCGCATCGCCTAGAACTGGCCGGCTGCGCGCCGCACTGCCCCGCCTGTCAGGTACCGCCACACCGCGCCCAACACCACGTCACTCCATATACCAGGACTTAGGCTCCTTCATGAAATAACCAAATAGCGTTTTCCCGAGATAAAGGCCAACTTGCCTGCAGGTGTCATGGATGTTCCAAAACGGTTATAATGGCTATTAAGGAAATTCGATGGAATCGATCTTCCCGTTTCCCTTCCGCCTCTCATCAACAGACTCAGAGGGTTTATAGAGATTTGCTAAAGCTAGACGCTGGTGGCTTGAATACTGATATCTTTTATACGATTTTTAAATATACTTAAAGGTCCTTAAATAAGACCTATGTTGAGCTTTTTTCATGTGATGCATATACTTACTTAAATAATGACTGACCTCGCATTTTATACCATTGCTTCGAAGGCGTCGGTATTGTAACAACTAACATATCATAAAAGCTGAATTAATTCTGATATACAGGATGAGCGCGGTTTTGCTTTTGTGCTTTCAGTGATATGTGCAAAATTGACGAAAATTGTGGCACTGATTTTGTCACTATAAAAAGCATCCTATGATTGTAAACATAACAGAGCGTTTGCTTGTCGGCACCTCTAGTCGCTGTGGCCTGACAAAGCCATGGCGGCTGTGTGTCATGTGATGTCATGTGGTGTCATGGTGTGTCTGTGTGTGAAGGCAGTTTGCTTGTTGCAGGGCGGGCAGTGCGCCACATTGGTGAGCAATCACGCGTGTTGTGTGCATCGGTAACCATTCCCACTCTTCTTATTCATTCATACATTTGCTAAATTAACAATTACTTTATGTGCTTACGTCTTCGATTTAATTCGTGATTCGTTAATCTCAATTAATGAAAATGCTTAATACGTTTAGATGATTTACACTTTAGAGAGGAATTAAATTTTGTTATTAAGTTAAATCGAAGACATATTCATTTCATTTTCGTCGTCATTTTGTGTTGCATGTTTTATACTTTCCTTGTCATGATCAGGCATGGTAATTTCTTTGTCAATTTGCGTAAGACGTCCCCAAAGACTGCTGCGAGGTACGAGCATGTTGGTATATATTATGATTCCTACATAGAGTCTTCCATGCATCAAGTTCATACAATCATTTTAAGTTTCCGATTCCATTTTATTTCACTAGAATTACTGTAGACGTAATTGTTATTCAAAACTCCGTTACAAAGTATTGCAGTGATCGATATGGATCAATTTTAGAGTATCCATTAACGAATTGTAATTAAACAAAATAATATAGAAACTGCTTGTGATAAAATGAATAGTCAATATCGTAATAATTCAATTAATTCTCGTATTGTAAGATAGGGCTGAGCTGACGTTCTACTCTTAGAGTTTCACAATGCTACCAGTAAGATTAGATAAATTTTAAGTATGTTAATAAGCCTATTCTTACTTGAGGTTAATTTGGGCATTCTCAAAGCGGTACAGACAGCAAAACACAATACTGAGAGGGCGATATGACAGTATTTGGATTATATTTTTTAAACGTAATCAAGTTGGCACATCACGTTTGTACCGCAAGATATAGTCCAAGTTAACTTGACTTACGTGTGCTTCAATATTGTTAAGTTGACGCAAGCGTGAGTGCGCTACCACACGGCCGACCCACCCTCTCCCTTAGTGTCCGTGACCCCTGACTAGATGTACCTAGTAGTGACCAAATGTGCACACGAAAAAGTCTGTCCAATGCTCCCATAGTCTCCACTTCTAGTATAATTTTTGCATTCCAACATTTCAAATAAATTATTGATGGTCAATGCTAAATTTGAACTACTTATTCGTATTTAACTATTTGAGTTGAAATAAATGAAAAACGTGGCTAGTATGAAGAAGTATAAGACAAGATTCGTGTGCGCATGCGAACGTTGACTAGTGGGATAGAGGTTGAGGCGGGCGCGTGGTGAGCGTGTGGGTGTGGCAGGGCGCGGCGCGACGTGGCGGCGACGCTGCTGCTGGCGGCGCTGTGGTGGGGCCGCGCGCCAGCCGCGCACCGCAAGCACCGCGGCGCGCGGCGCTAGAGCCGCCCTGAGCGCGACGCACATCACCTATTTATTCTAGATAGACCTAATGTTAACCAATTAGCGGGCGGGCGGGCCGCGCCGCCGGCAGCGCGCCCCGCGCCGTCCGCGCTCGCGGCGCCCAGCCGCGCCCGACGTTTTATCCTCGTTATAGCAATATCCTAGTGTTACCGCGTAGTTAGGACGAGTGCGCGGCGCCGCCGCAGCATGTAATCTTCGAATTCTAAATCTAAAAGAGTACGATCGCTTGTAACTGTATCCTAGAGTTGTAACCGTTTAGCTATTGTTGTGGCATGCATAGACCGCAAAGCGCCGGCGGGCGCGCCTTGTTGTACCAAATTTTTCATAATATATTATAGTTTTTGTTTGTTTAATATAGATATCATTTTCACTGATTTTTGAAAGTAACCAAAAATAGATACCAAATATAGAAAAGATACAATTATATCAATTTAAAAGCATTTTGATGCTTGCATGTCGTATTGTGTTCAAGACTTGCAATAAAACACTTGTAAAGCTTTGTTTCAATGTTTTAGAGTCGAAATGGTCGCAGTTCACTATAGCTTCCTTAATTTATCGTAGAAATGTTCAGTTTTTACCTCCTGCTTATAAATTTGTGTATATACCTATATAGGAAACTGTTTTATTTAAAATCAATTACTATTGTAACACTAATAAAAAACTAATTAGATACTTAAATAGAAAAATATATAAAATGTATTTCAGTTTCAACTCCGATCACCGATGTACCGATCGAAATGTGATTTCACATCAAATACCAAAGGAAATGTAACTATTGTATGTACTTAATGTAATTTGTATTCAGTCAGTAACGTATGTAGATGTTGTCGTTCACGTGTGAATGAGATGTAAAGAGTGAATGAACGAAGAGAAAGATTTATTTTTAAAACTTTTGAGTTTGTTACAAATTTTTAGCATTGAAAAATAAAAAGTGTTTTTGGTTGTATCATTAAATAATTATTATTTATTTTAATAAATAAATTACAATTTTGAAATGTCCCTTCCGATACCCTATAAACTCCTCTCTAGTAATAGTTTCAATATTTATGAATAAAGTGCAAAATTTTATACCTAAGTACACACATTTTTTAAATTTAAACTATTGACTAGAAAAGAAACTTAATAAGATAAATTTAACTAATACTTTATAAAAAATACCTTAAGAATTATAGGAAAATCTAAACATCATAATTTATTGAAATTTGTACTTTTAAATTGAATTGCAATTTCTTAAAACGAAAAGTAAATTATAGCAACTCAACTGTATACATTACAATGAGAAGAAAATAACAAGTTAAAATTTATATGTGAAATTTTTAAATCTGTGGTGGGATGGGTACATTGGCAATGGATTGCTGCATGTCCGGTGTGGGTATGGTCGGATGCAGACAGGCGATGCGCAGGGGCTGAGCGATCTTCAACGCGCGCGACTCCTTGCGCTCCAATGCGTTAGACACCAATGTATACGCCGCCGTGAATAATGTTGAAGCCTACGAAAATATAAACCACGATAAAGTAATCTTCCACACCTTCCCCTCCTTTTCTTCCTTTTGTTGCATTCTTCCTTGTCAGTTATTTACGACGGACAGTAGGGTAATATTTTTTTACGATTCAATCTTGCTTATAGATTTTACTTACAAATTATTTCCATAAAATATAAGTATATATAAAATATAAGAATAGACAGGATCCATTTTAGACAAGTAAAAAACGAAAAAGTAATTGGGTCCGCAAAATATATCTTCAGACAAAAGACAAAGTCTAAATTTTCCTTTAACCTCTACTATACAAAGGGTTATAATATATACCATGACGATGATGATGGCGGAGGTAAGCACGCAGACGGAGTTGATGAACATCCTGATCTCGGTGAGTGCAGGGCGCAGGCAGCCCCCTGCGTGCATCGGACTGGTGCACTGCTCCCCATTCTGACAAATAAACAAGTCAAGATTAGCATTAAACCAGAATCTACTACTAAAATCAGTTTAAATTGGTACAACGTTAAAAGTTGCTACACTCAATGTTAAATGATCACTAATCAGCAACACAAAACCTAATTGGGGTTGACAAAGACAGGCGAAATGTGAAAAAAAAGTCCAGGAAAAAAAATTACATATTGTTTGTTTCACAGTATGAAATACAGAAGATCAAAAACAATAAGTAAAAAGGTAACATAAGAGACATTTGTATCAGTTCTGTGAATACCTTGCCATTCAACAATCGTCCGCAGCAGGATGGTGGCAGCACTCTGCGGTGCTGATACCAGTCTGCATATGACTGCACGCCGCAACATCTCAGCTGTTATACAATAAAACAGTAATTAATTTTACTTAAAATGCATCTAAATAATTGCACTAGTAACTTTGAAGCTGCTTATCAAATCTCAAATTTTAAGGCCTTTGACTCTAACAGGATGAAAATTCTGCCAATGCGTATTTAATTACTAATAATAACAATTTTATCATAAAACTCTCTATACACACCTCAATCTGCATAGCGGAGAAAGCGGTCCGAACAGCCGGGTCAACAGACTCATGTGCCATAGCACGCAGCATGCTGGCGTTCAGCGCGCCCGGCTCCCGCACTGCCTTCGAAAGACCCGTTATGGCCGACATGCCCGTCGACAGCAACAGTATTGAAGTTGTGACCAACAGCATTAGCTAGTCAAAACATAGGCATAGTTTCAAGGAGTTTCAAAATAACAAGGTTAACCACATCATCTCGTGATAATTAACCAACAAGCTCCCCGAATTATCACATAGGGTAAGATAAAACTGATCTGCAAACTAGCCTAAAGCTTTTAAAATGTAGACCGTTATGACTATTTAATAAGATTACTTTATTTAGTCTTGTTCTTTAAAATACAAAGAAATCAACATACCGTTGCCAGAATAGATACAGATTTACTATGATACGGTGCCAATGTAGCGAGCCAGCATGAGGGTAGACAGAGGAATGCACCCGCGATGAACAGCACGATAGAACCAAGTTCGACGCCCAGGTCTGTAGTCCAGAAGTAGTAGGACATACGCAGCAGGGTGAAAGCTGTAGACCCACCTAATATTGCGCCCCCACTCTGATACCAAGGGAAAGAAACAGTTGAAGTTAAGGCAAAGTCACATAAATAAATCATTACCAAAAGCAAAATATCCTTATTTCAAGTTTCTGCCCTTGAATTCCATTTCTTGCTTATCAAATAAAAACATAGTGTGATCTTCCTTCAATTATTGAGTTAAATCTTACTCTTACTAATATAATAATTGCGAATGTTTGGATGGATGGACGATGTATGTATGTATGGTAAGGGGAATAAAAATAAGATATCTTGTAATTGTTAGCAGATATTAGCTACTAAGTACGATACAAGTAACATTGTACTTACCAACAGTAATCCAGCGCAAGCGAACAAAACTAAACCACTGCTTCTCATTTTCGAGATGTTGCAATATTTTTGTAACAAATGCTTTATATCGTTATCAATGATTAATTTTCTGTATTTTATATTATTTTCTAATTCTATCTTCGCAATACCTAAAGTAATTAATTCATGTCATTCATGACTTGTTTTGACAGTTATTTGAAATTAGACATGAATAAGAAATAAATTATTTTTTGTCAAAATCTCTACAATTTGGGTCTCTTTATTGCCACTTTATTTATAACATTCTGTGAACTGCAAATTAAATTTTATTAACGTATATGATATTCTACATATTAACATGAATATTAAATTAAATTGTTACCATTAAGTCGCTGCATGAGCCAAACTTTGAAAAAAATATATTTTTGAATACTACCTCCACTGAACAATAATATCGGTCTACCCTGTTAAAATGAAAGGTAAGTAATTGATTTGCACCACCGTCCATCATCGAATGCGAATGGTTAACCGTACAAACACGTAGATTTGCAACTTGCAAGGAACATAAATATGGCTTCTTTAATTCGTCTATGGCAAAGGAATTAAAAAAAGAAGATTATAAAGACTTGTACCGTTTGTCATGTATTTTTTGGCATTTGTCTGGTTTGATACATCATGTAACCTGTTTTTAAGCCATAGTTTAATATTTATTGATATTTTTAATGATAATAATTTATTTCGATGCAAAAAATTAATTTCGTTATGCAATAATCAACCGAATAAATTTAAATTTTAAATCAAAGACAAGTTTTTTTTATTGATACGTGATTATATGTTAGTATTAGTAAGTACTAAGTGCTAAATAATTTTAAACATACATCAAGATCTTTAAGATGTTCCCACTCTCTTGAATAAAAGAACACACTGTATCTATTGATAAATCTTTGATGAATGATCCACAGTATAAATGATCCCAAAAACTCGCAGGGCAAGTCGGTGGCACTGAACGTGTTAACAATAGTTTTGCCTTATGTATGAGTTTTTGTATTGCAGAGTCGCAATCGCAATGCATCCGGTGCGGGAGCGGGACTGCGACGAGCTGTTGCAACATCCACTGCTGCGCACGCCGCCACCGGAGCCCGAGCGCCCAAAGCCGCCGCGCGTGCGCAAGCCGAGAGTCTTCAAACTCGTTAGCTCACTCTACGCTACTATTATTATATAAGTATTAATAGCATAAAACATCAGAGGAACAGCATCGTTTTAAACCATTCAATGTTCCTAGACCACCTTTCAAAGTAGTATTTAGCTAGCATGTTTACAATGGCTTCCATTTAAGTCCTAAAAGAAGAATTATTTCAATCGTACATTGTTTATTATTTTTAAGTCCTTAATTTTATTTTTCAGCCTCCAAGATTTCCCTTGTTGTCTATAGAATTCTACACAAAATGGTGCAACCATCAAAAAGAGGTAACAAAGTGCTAGACTGATTTTAAAGATTATATGTCAATTGCTTCTTATTTTTCATTAGAATTTCATATTTTTTTGAACGATTGACTTTTTTATGTTTTCGATTAGTTGCAAATGGCGAAGCACAAAGTGGACGACAGCTCGCCGGAGCTGTTCCCGGAGTTATACTTAAAACCACGTCGGCTGGACTACTACGCGCGCCAGCTAGAGCAGAACATGATCGTGAACAAAGAAATTATAAAGAAGATTAACCTCATACAGCGAACTGGGGTACACCACATACGTCGTTCAATATGACTATGATTGTTAAATTACTATGCGTACACAATAACATCAGCGTGGAGTGTGAATCGCCCAGTCTCGCCACACGCCATTAAAGCATAAGTCGTGCCTTGTTCAGCATATTTTTTCACGATGTAGTATTTGAAATTCTAGTGATTTTCTTACTTTTTGACTGCTTAAACGGATAGGCTAATATAGTGTAACTAGGAGACCGTTTTGTGCAGGGTTTCGTGGATTGTTGGCTGAAGCCGCCGCCCTCCGACAACTACAACCGGCTACTGTGCAAGCAGCGTCAACGCGTGCTTGACCGCATCCGCAAAGACAACCTATATCTATACTCACGGCTTCTTATCGCGGTAATAACTCTTGATTCCTTTTCCTCTAGCTCGACTAGCCAAGCAACAATAGTCGCTTCTATTCCTATGATCAATGTACTTCAACTGGACGCCACTGTCATATCAATTAATCGTAACGCACGGCTAATCCTTTATGGAAAATAGTCTTTGCAGAACACGTGTTATAATGCTATATGTTTAACTATCATATTATTAGCCACTCGTGCTCCCGTCATCATTTCAAACATTTATTATATCTATCCTTTTTATAATCATTTTTAAAGCACTCCCGAAGTCTTTGCTGGTAATAAAATGGTGCAGGATATAATATTCACGTTGAATTTCAGAGATCTGAACAACTGCTCACAAAGGAATTAGATTTAGCCTGGATAGACACAAAACACAAACTCATTTTAGGGGCATCGTAAGTTAATTATAATAAAAATATTATAAAAAGTCTAGTTAATTTATAAAGCTTGGTAAAATTAGCAGTATTTTTATATGTCTCAAGTTTTGTGAAGTAAATTTCGGAAAGAATTTTTTCTAGAAAGTTCACTAAAGTATATTTATTACAGATTACCGTTCATATTGTTTAAAACAGAGAAGATAGACCGCGGCATTAAGGATCCCGCTTTCGACAAGCCATCGTATGTCAACAGAACCAAGTAAGATTTGTTACGTATAAAAACACATACTGTATTAGTCTAAATACAATTACACATTGTTTATTTAAATACATATTTTAACCCTTTGACCGCCGTTGATTAATATTATGGATGTCACCAAAACATAAGTATTTTATTATAACTTCGCATTTCGTAAGCCTACACATAATTATATTTTAATAATCATGTTTTCGAGTAATGCCTAATATCAGCACTCGATAAAAGGTTAACCCTTTTACTTTATGAAGCACTATCTTTTTTTATAGTTGTACTCATAACATTTTAGTCAATTTTAATTGATAATTCGGCGCATAATTGTTATATGAATCGGACAGTGATCTAATTTATTAGTTATTGTCATTCAGAGTTGCAATGGAAATATGGGTCCGCGGCGGTTCTAAGATGGGGAAGGTGTTCATAGAACTGTTCACGGATCTGATGCCGAAGACCTGTCAGTTGTTCCTCAACCTGGTGAAGGGCGACAGCAAGGGACACGCATACACGGGATGTAGATTTTTTACGTATGTACAAACGTTTTTCGAGCAAACTTGCCAAGCAAGACGGTGGCACTGAACGTGTTACGTTCTAACTAATAAATAAATCATTATAAAAAAATCACTACTCTAATTTTTTTACTTTAGTTTAATATATTAATAAATCGATTGATTTATCAAGGGTCGTGCCAGATCTATACTGTAGGGGAGGTGACGTTGTCAAAGACAACGGTTTTGGTTTTTATCACGCGGAGGCGAAACAATCTCTCGAGACTCCGGAGAATTTCCTACTCAAACATACAGTACCAGGTACCTTTACAACTAAATTTATCTTTTTGTAGCCTTATTAATTTGGATATTTACTTATTTAATGTTATATTTGTTAGGTGTATTGTCTATGGTGGTAACGCCAGACAATGAAGTGTCGGGACAATTTAATATCATTTTCAAACCTTTGCCGCAGTTCGATAACAAACACGTCGTCTTTGGAAGAGTAAGTATGAGCAACATATCCAAGAATTTAACATTATCAAATGAACTTAATGTAAAAGAAACAGGTTAAAAACACCAAAACCTAAACAGACTATTATTCTAATTTCTATTATTCGAAACGGCTTGGCCAATTTTGATGGCCCTTTTGCTGGAATGTAGATTATGTTTACGGCAGTATCTTAGTCTATTTTTTGGAATTTCGCGGCTGACCAGTAGTATAATTTAAAATGTATAGATGAAGAACCGTTTACTAAGTACAATTAAATTCTAGAATAAACTTAACGTACCTAAGCATGTATTACCACAGATAGTATCAGGCCCTACGCAGACATTGGAGCGGATAAGCGCGCTAGGTCTGCCACTGGGCACGACCAGCTCTGACTGTATCATCCGCACCTGCGGCTGGTTTCGTCGCAACGGCCAGTACAAGGAGGGTAGCCCTAACACCATCAAGTTTCCGCCCAGAAGGAAAAAAGCTTAGAAACTTTGTGATTAAAATCATGACAATAAAAGTGTGTATTTAATCGTTTGTGATTTTATTTAAATTATGTGAGGTAGAATTCTATGTATTTCAAGAAGCATGAGGTCTCTGCGATAATGTAAGCTGTCCAGTTTTAAACTCAGACATTAGGTATCACATACACACCGTTAAATCAATTTTAGGTTTTCTAAATTTAAAAAAACAACTGCTCGAATTCTTAATACCGTTTATTTTCATACGTATCTCTAATTGTTGAATAAATTAGAAAATGTATAATAATATAATATGACACCGCATACGCAGCCGAAGCTGATTCACAAATATCAATCACTTTTGTCAATTGAAACGAGAAAATAATATTGAAATCATCGTCTTTCTCTGTCACACTAACGTCACTCTATCTTCACGAATAACGCGCATGAAAATATTAATGCCAGCAACTGAAAAAAAAATATGCATTTTTATGCGCTGTATTATACATCAAACTTATATTTGGAGAATGGTAAAAAGACAATATTTCAAAGTATTCTTACCATAATAATAGTTGTTACAATCGCGGTAACTCCGACACTGACGGCGTTTTCCCGCAAAAAGCTGACAGTCTTCTCCAGACATCCGTCTGTGTACATGGTGGTGGGGTTAGGGGAGCTCTTGCAATCCAATCTCTGCAGCGATTATAAACATATTAATTTGCCGTTCATTTGATTTTTTTGTGACATGAGGAACTTACATTATTATGTAAGTTCCTCTTAAAAAGTTGTTTTATTAACAACTTGATATTTCATTGTAAGAATGCAGCGTTCTTACGAGAGAGAAAGAAAAATGTTCCGAATAATCCATACAAATTCATACATGCAGCAAGATGCATCCAGTGGGGGACGTTAATTTCCTATCCATTTCGAGGTAGTAACACTTGACGCTCACATTATTTTAAGTTCAAACACTTCTCATATAAACATAAATACGGGATAAATTATAGATTCTTTGGTTGATGCTTTGCTCTCGGATATTCGATCGCAAATAGGATATGAATATATTTAATTGACTGTACCTTCCCAGGATAGACTTCCTTGCAGCAGCTGTCAGGCACATTGTCGTTCCAGTCGTTATGACTGCGCACGCCGCAGCACTGAAGGAAGGTGTGCGTGTCGTCCCACGCTCGCGTGTACTCGTGTTTCACGCCATAGTACGGGATGGCGGCGAACATCTCCCGGTCCAATGTACTGTGCACCTTTTCACGAAACACAAACTGCAAGATACCGCCCACTAGTGCCACCACGAATATAATGAACATCAATATGTAATACTGAAACAAACAAGCAAAATTATTAATTACAATTATTTTGTCACTCAAGTGACAATATCAAAAATAATAAGTATTTGTACCTAAAAAACATACACAGTTTAGCTTTCTAACTTTAAATAGTACTACCAATTGGAATAATTACAATATAAATTGTCTGAGTAATAATATAATTAAAGGTATAATTAAAGCAAGATAGTACTAAATAAAAGAAAAATATTTAGTGCCTTGTGTAGTATGTATGTAATATACATTTTTAGTACAATAAAATATACTAAATAAATGAATAGAACTAATAAACACCTTGATCACGTAATTAACAGATTATAACGGATGTTAATACAAACATATGTATATATAACATGTGTATTTATCATACACACATAATTTAGATTACTCGACGGATATCCTAAGTACGTGCATGTTCTTGAATGCATTACTCAAAGGTCGTGGCATTGCAGAACCCAACGTGTAGATAATAATCTTTGTATCACTAAATCACAATGAAAGCTCGAACTAAACTAAATTAACTTTTGCGCTTGTAATAATTTGTTTATTCTTCAAAATTATTAGTCCTAGTCCTAGTCTTTTAAGATAGTTTATACCAAATATATGAAAAAAGCTTAAAACCGATTATAAGGATACTTCCACTTAAACAAAGCTATTTTACAACTGAGAAATAAAAGCGATAAACGAAAATGTGGATACCAGATATATTTATAATTCATAGGTTACTAATCGTCGACAATGACTCTGTCTGTGCTGAATTAAAAAAAAACTAATTAGTAGACTATGTGTTCTACATCCATGCCAAATTTCAACGAGATCCATTTAGCCGTTCTGGAGATACCTCTAACAAACATCCATCCATCCATCTAAAAATTCACATTTATAAAACCAGTAAAACCAGTAAGATATATATATTTTCCTACCGTGAGCAGCATGCATTTGACCTCCTTAGCAGCTCCGCAGCACCCGAGCACAGAGAGCAGCATCATAGCGGCGCCGGAGACTAGCACCACGCCCACCGACGCTATGAACATATTGTTGCTCATCAACGTACTTGAGAACGACCGCGACACCCAAACCCATGTGCCCACGCCCAGCGCCACACCACCACTTATCTAAGTAACAAGATATAGTTTTTTTAAGTATTGACTAGTTGATTGTTGGAGATTTTTCAATACGAATATTTCGTATATTGACGTTGTTAAGATTCAAAGTCGCTCAATTTCACGCCATTACATTCAAAGACAATGTAAACAATGCGTTTAACGGTAGCTAACCATAATTTAATGTAACTTTTATATATTAGTTAACACTATGGTTTCAGAATTGCTATAATCCTTTACTAGCATTTAGTGTAACAAAAAAATATATTATTTATAAATATTACGATGTATTCAATTGAAAATAAATACTTACAAATATGATAATGTTGATCGCGATGAGCGACACTTTCATACAACGACCGCAACTGTCCATCGCGCCTATGCCCATGCCAGTACACTGCAAGAAAATATTTAATAATAATTAATAATTTTAAAAACGCCTAAATGTATGAATACTACTAAATCAAAATATACCTTTCACAACTAAATCGGTTAATCACTTTGACTTTAGGATGCTGTAAAAATATCTATTGCGTAAATAGGCATTTAACAAGGTAGTGCATATCATCTTTCGACCACATCATCACTTAACATCAGGTGGGATCTTAGTGAAGCGCTAGCTTATTCAATATATTAAAAAAATGTACACGAAAAAGAATCACAAGCTATTATAATTCGTTCTAATTTATACAACATGTTCAAATAGGGTTGATGTGTTAGTGATTGCAGTGAAATAAACAATTTACTTACCTTTTAAAGGAATTATAAATCTTTTGTAATCCTAAAAATACGATAAAAATCGTTATATTAACCATTGTCTGATTTAAAATACATGTGGAAATATTTTTGCAATAAACGCAATTAATCTTGGCCACAGTGAAATTAAATATGACATAAAATTTCCTTTTTCTGCCACTCGTACCATACATCCTCCATTTAAATGTATTACATTTTTTGTCGTCTTTGGAACATAACATTTGGAATCACGCATCGAAAACTCAAGTTGTTTACATCAAATGACCCATAAATATCTACAAAAACTACGATATATGATTAAATACTTAAACAAGAATATAATAAAAGTGTTTTAATTTGCCGGATGAAGTTAAACTACTCAGACAAACAAGAAGTAACGTTCCCTCTCATTTAGCTTTGAACACCGTATCTTTGGTTTTCTTATAAGAACGGTTTAACATTAATTTAAATGTCACATTTTAAACAAATCAACTTTCTAAATAGGTTATTTGGCCATAAATTTCTATTCATATTAAAGTTATTGTTTAAATTGTGTTTTCCGATAAGGAATTAAAAAAAAACTAAGACGTTATTTGACCTAATATCTCATAAATTGTAATATTACGGCAAAAAAGCCTACATTACCTACATAAAATTGTTTAGCGTTAGTATCAACATGTAGGTATTTATGTCATGCGCGCCGCATATATTATGCTGGTGTGGCACAAGTTGCGCGGACGCAGCGACTCAGTCAAGGTGAGGTGTGAGGTGGATAACGCAAGGCCCATCTGATCCATTCGCTTTCCGCTGATAGACAATAAGTGAAAGCACACGCAAGGTTTGTACCACAAACATTTCACTTGTCAACAAAACACGATCGAAAAATGTGTACCTTCGCTATGTAAATAAAAATTAACTCCAACTCCGAAATGTAATTCAAGACTGTTTTAATAACAAAGATATTTCAAAAACTAACTAATGTGTGTATTGTTTATAAACATCATAACTTTATTCATGATTTTTTAAATGTTTTTTTTTTATGAATTAACACTTACCTTTTTATAACAGGTCGTCGTACAGATTATGTCCAAAGTAATCTTAGGAAATGATTTCACTTAATCATCACTCTCACATTTATTACCGCGTAATGTTAATTAACAATGATTCGTTATTATTATTTGGAAAGCGACGTGAACACTCGACGAAAGAATTACGACTGGTTTGAATCGAAACGGCGGGCGACGCGACGCCCCACCAAAATCCCAAGCTATGGGTCAATCTCTAGTCGAAGCATGTACTTTTTAAACGCAATTATAACTGGGTCAACTAAGATGCGATAAGTAAACAGGTAACGGCGATTACTTTAGAAAACGTTATTCCAGAATTGTAACAATTATAATCAATATGGACGAATAATTATTTATAGACACCAACTTACAACCGGTCTTAGTACGACATTGAAGGGACCTCTAGTCTGACACAAAAGTCATCCGGTTTCTTATAACAAATATTAAGTCATACGGCAGTATTTATTTTGTAATTACCCCATGGTGTAATCACGCTTTTTTATGATTATGGGTTCGATTCCCATTCTAAAAATGAATTAATGCATACCTATTGTTTTTTCACTAAATTTTAATAAGACAAAACGTAGTGGTAGAAGTTTATAGAATAACAATAGAAGAACGCTACTTTCTTGCCAATGTTTTCAACATTCGACATGTTACGATACATAAATCAAACAACAGTGGAATATATTAATTCATTTTATTAGTTTTTTTTTGTTAATAGTTACTTTAACAGAAATAGGTAATAATGTACAGAGCGCTGCCACCAGCAAATAGGGGCGCTGCCGTCGGGTAGGACAACGTTACAATACAGCACGGAATTGAGCTTTGGTGCACACCACTGTTTTTTAACCGATCAAGACCCACATACAGCCCCTAAGCAACGATGACAATAATTAGACTGGTGATCTTATTTCTTTATTCCTCGCTCACTCAGGAATTTAGGAGACACAATATTACAGGCAATGCAGGAATTTGCATCGTAAAAAATGTTAAAAAACACTGGTTTGTCACCAACTTCTAACAGTATAATATGAATTAACAGACATTTCACCAAAATATAATACATCGACGATTAATCAAGACTTGCGTCGGATTTCAACAAACTCGTCCTATCTCTTCTTGCATACACTCTTTCATTTTGCAGTGAGCCACAAAAATGTACTACGATCGTACCTATCAATAGATTATTTAGGGATACAACATTTTTATACACCGTAGCAACACGCCATGTGACGTCATAGGATTCATGTCTTGTTATTATGTTGTGGTAGCATCAATGTATTACTTCGTCTATTCCATTTGCTTTTGTCTCAGACAATAAGACTTACAATTAAATGTAAATGTTGTCGTAAAATAATTATTTTCTGTACAAAATGGAAAACTGAACCATTGACAGGACAGTTCAAGATCGTGTTGGTAAATTGCTTCAAAGTGTTAAAACCATACATTTATGCATTAATCACTCAGGTAAATCTAATAAAGCGTTCGACAGTCCACAACCAAAAGTGAATTTCACTATTTTATAAATTTTAATTTCAAAAAGTCAGTTGCATTGTGTAAGACATTCTATTAAGTTGTATTAAGCAATATAAAACTATAAACAAATTTCATGTTTAACCAATGAGGAGATAACCTGAAAACTCTGAAGACGTTCGTTCTTAATCGCTAGTTCTTCCTTTCTAGACAAAAAATGTATTTTTTTAATTTTAATTATTTCAGTTAATAACAACGCGAAGAATACACGTTTTAATTCATAAACATAATATAACAAAATGATAACTGTAGAGCACATAATTTTTCTAATACAATAGTTTTTTTTTAACTTGCCATGGATCGAAATTGTAAAGAAACTTGGAGTTTTATTGTTTAAATAAAGTCATTATTAATTAATATATAACTCTATACAAAATGTTAAAAATAAAAACAAACACTTTTTCAAACAATATTTCCGGCGATCCGCCGAAAATGAATATATTACACATTTTGCGCTAGATTACAACATATTACACTTATAGAAGCTAGACTAAGATGATGGTTACATACAGATTGACAATAAATTAACATACGTGTCATAGTTGGGCCATTTTAATAGGTTACATTTGACATTTTATTAAAATCCAACAATGTATCCTTTTAATGGCGGACATAAAAATAAATTGTAAATTAGATCTACACAATTGCTTATTTTTTAAATTCCGGTTACATATATAATGACCATCGAACGTCGTTACAATGTTGCACCAGTCGATCATTTTTTTATTTTTAAATGTAAGGATTAAATTCTTTGCCTTTATCTTTTACTTTCTAGTTACTAGATGAGCTGACATTTTGCGTAAATATAAATCGCGTGGCAATGCAATATTCTGATGACATAGTGTTGATCTGATAGGAACTTCACAATGAAACGACACAACCGTATCGAGTTTCGTCTCATTTGAATCATTTTGACGAATACTGTGTCTTTTTATCTCTATTTCTTTTAATTATTATAACAAGAATATTTATATTAATTTACATATTATTGAAGTCTGTATCGATTTATTCATTTTAATTGATGTATTTAAGCAGGTTACCACACTATGAAGATAAAGCCGAAAGTAGTCAAATATGACCTATCAAATTGGTCCAACTATAGATCCCTTATAACTGCATCGACCCTGTATTGAGACATAATGTCATCCTTCACATTAGCTTTGAAAAAAGAGAGACAACAATATGTGTCAATGTCTCGTCGGTTTAAACCCATAATTAAACTTAAAGATTTACTAAAAATTTTAACACTTAAAACGCTGTTAACTAATCTCACGACACTGCGTACATGTCGCAAATTAAATCGTCTTTATACTATAAAAACAAAGCTCTATTAAATAAATATAATCTTAACACGTTTCATGCCACTACCATTTTTACCCAATCACATTGAACTCGCATGGTGAGCCAATGGCATTAAAAGGGTTAAGATAGCTCCCCCTCACATATTCATGTATCGGATTTGAAAGATTATAAAATTCAATTTTTTTTTCTTAATTATCTTTTCGGCATTAAATTCAAAAAGAGTTTTACTAAGGATAAATAGTAACATTTAGTTATGCAAATTATCAATGCAAAGAATAACTTATGTACATTGTGAGATTCACAAACTAAGACTAAGGCGAAATATTTTCTTAACTATATTTTATTATGCAATTTTATTAATTATTGCAAAGTGTAACATTTCTCTATTTAATCTAAGATTCTATAAAAAAAAGTAAATTTTCACTAGAGTGAATTTACTCAGGCTCATATTACGATATCCACGCAGCATCGTGACAATGTGTTATAAATAATATAAGAGTGTTTCCCCATCGATGTCTCTAAAAAGAAGTTATACTTCTTGGGAAAGCGAAATTTCTGATGATCCAACAAAATGTCAAATAACAGTATGAACATAAATAACTGACTGTGGGTTCCTGAGGCTAAATTCTTTTAAAAATATAATACTTAATGATTTTTTGCTTTACTAAGATGAACTCAATACCACACTACAATGATACAAATGTACTATCATTTGAAATAAAAAAAGGACAGACCTAAAGTTTTAGCTAAGCTTTATACAAACAGTATGTTTCAAAAACCCTGTCAGATCCGGGATAAAATTTTTGCTAAAAAGTTTATTAACAAATTATTTTATTGCTAAGAAAATAAATAAAAACACTTTGGAAATATATGGTTTAGGCCATAACAATCTAAGACCCATTTGAGTAACAAGAAATCTACTGATACCGAATAAGTCCATGATGTATGAAAAAAGATGCCTACGAATATTTTTGTTACAATATATAGCAAATATTTTTGTATAATTTGATAAATATGACAAAAAATTATTTAAATTAATTATAATAGTTTTTAAGAATAAAAAAGAACATAACAAAATTTGAAGAAACAGGATTTATGTAACATACTGTATATTGAAAAGTAAAATGGCAACATAATTGAACAATGTATGTTAGAAGGAGACATCGATAGGTGTAACCTCAGTGCAGTGTGTGTGAGCGAGAGCGCGGTCAGCTGGGCGCGGCGAGGGGCAGCGGGGCGGCGGCGGGGGCGGGGGCGGCGAGGCGCGCCCGCTGCGCCGCGGCGTACCCCTACGGCCGGCGCGGGGGGAACATGCCGCCACGTGACACGTACCCGCTGCTGCCACCTACTGCTGAACATAACAAACAACGCTATCAACCACCAACAACAGTGGTAGACTCCAGCAATAACATCTGTTGCACGAATTAGGCAGCTCGATCGGTGCAATACCACGACCACACAGAAGACACGCTTCTCTAGTGGATGCAATTCCGCATACAGTCTGATGAGTGTGCAGGTCCAATTTGTCCCTTCCTATTTTTTCAAATGGGAAGTGGAAGTGGATTTGACGGAGGAGGGGGGACGCATGGGATGGGGATATACCCTTTTACTATGCGTCCCATCCTCCGTTGGCTAATGGTAAGCAACAATGCATCTGTAATTGCGTGTGTCTATAAACAGCGGTTGCTTCGCTATTTCTGGGTATTCACGTGGCTGCCTGCTCTCTTGCCACCTCATGATAATGTTATTTAAAAAATCAACTAACAAATACATTGCTAAATATATTCATAAAAAATCATATTAAGTTTAAAAAGCTATAAAAACATACTCACATTGGGCAGGTAATGGCAAACAGTTAGATTTTAAAACTTCTTCATGATTACCGTATGCACAAAATTTAACAACTACTGTATTAGCTGAAATCCCAGTGACCTCAGCCTCATAGAACTGAAAAAAACAGTGTGATATCAGTAAAAAAGAACAGAGTAATAGAAAAGAGCAAAAGGCACATGCAAATAAATCTTACATTATTGTCTTCCCAGTACAGCGCTAGGCATCTGTCTCCTACTTTCCAATTGATGTCATTGACACCAAGCATAGCTCGGGCTTGTTCATTAACAGCGGCATTTTGAAAACCAAGCAGAGAGCCCGGCAGAAATGGCCCAGCAGGTCGCATCGTATTGTACTCCTGTGGTCTCCCTCCATAGCCATATTGCCGGCCATTGTATCCACTCTGTGCACTGCCAATGTAATTCATATTTGCATACAATTGGTTTTGCAGATTTTGCTGGGGTTCCATATAGCCGTTTGACTGTTGATGTTGCCTCCGTTGATACTGTTGGTCTGAATATTTTTGCATATCATTGGCCCTTCGGAAGCCAGTCATGTCTTGTATATTCTGATTAGCCATGTATTGCTGCTTGAGGTACATCTGGTCTGGATGTGTTGGATAGTTACGGGGCATATCTTCACTGGGCCTTGATGGATTGGAAAGTAAATTTAAGTTGGCCGTAGCCTCAGTTAAACTATCCATTATATTGCTGTTGTTGCGGAAGTGTTGGGGCAAGTGCATCTTATTATCATTCAAATTTCTATCGTTATACCTAGTGTGGTCATATGGATTATGTGGGTTGGGATATGAGTTGTTGTACTGTAAGTTCAGATTGACATTAACATCTTGTTGCTGCTGGTGTTGGTGTTGTTGATGTAGTTGCTGTTGCTGTTGTTGTTGTTGTTGTTGTTGATGTTGTTGTTGTGGTTGTTGTTGGTGTTGTTGTTGGTGTTGTTGTTGATGTTGTTGTTGGTGTTGTTGTTGGTGTTGTTGTTGGTGTTGTTGTTGGTGTTGTTGTTGTTGGTGGTGTTGTTGGTGTTGGTGATGACTCTGATGATGGTGTTGATGTTGTTGCTGTTTATTTCTCTCATCCAATTTTTTCTGAAATCTTGGTGGTTTTTCATTCTGATTCTGGTACTTCCTATCATCTCTGTGATGACTATCATTTGAATAATGCCCTCTGCCTTCTGATTTATGCCTGTTTGATCCATCATATCTATGCGATCTTGAACTACTTTTGGCACTGTGTCTTTCCTTATGGTAACTCCTGTCTCCTCTATCATCAGTAGAGTTATTTTTTTGATTATTCTTGTCTTTATCTGGAATATTGGGAAGTTTATCTTCCAGGAAATCAAATAAGGACACCATACCTGATGGTTTAATAGGTACAATATCATCATCTGTTTGCTCCCTATGACGAGGCTTACGTTTAGGTGGGTCTGACTCTTTCCTATCTTTATCCTTGCTTCTGTTTTCAGAATTATCTCTCTTTTGCAATATCCTCAGTGCCCTATCAACATTGTTTTTTGTATATTTAAGAGCATTTTCAGCTTGTTCCTCAGAAAATCCAGCATCCACAATCTTTTGGACATTAGCATCCAGTAATGGTTTAGTACCTCCACCAAATACCTGAAATATAACTTATATATTTAAATATGAATAACTAATACAGACTATAGATCTTATTTTACTATATAGAAAAGTATTATATACCTTTTTAACACCTGATAACCTTTGAGCTTCGGCTATTGCACCTTTTCTTTGAGCTTCAAACTCAGCATTGTCCTGTTTATTGGCTTCTTGTAAGCTCTTGAACTGTTTTTCCAAAGTCATGGCTTCAAGTCGCTGTCCAAATGGAATCCATGGCGGAGGACCACCTTCAGCACCTATACCACCTTCAACCAACAAAAATCATTACCAACAATTCAAAGAGTGAATCAGAAATTTTTTTGAAGTTTAAAATATAAAACTACACATAATTTGGACAAATTAATTTTGAATTTAATAATAAGTAAAATTATTTATAATATAATATAATAGTTGGATTGTTGTGAAATCATAGCAAATTCTTATAACAATCCAATTAGATTTCTTGCTATAACAATTGGATCTCTAGTTTACTATCCTTAGAAGACAAAAACCTCCTCTATGTATAAGTCAAATACAAATAAAAACTCAGAGTGAGTCCTTTTATCACATGTAATCATTTAAAACTTCACATGAATAATAAACGATACCTCTAGTATGCTTTGCAAGGCTACGATTTAGTTCCCATTTTTCAATCATGTGAGCAACCTTTCCTCCTAAAATTGTTATAACACTTGGAGACAGCCAGATAATACCATGACACACTTCAAGTCCTTCATTATTGAGCAACAACTTTGTGCCTGGTGGTGTATTAATGCTGAGGCTGGAAATATGACTGGTCTCTAATCCTGTGCAAATTGTTTTCCCATCATGAAGGGTCAATTTCAACATTCGAGGGGCTGAACAAGATTCTTCATTGGCCTTTGGTGCTGAAGCATTTCTTATCTTCTGTATTTGAACAACTATCGGTTTTTCGAGCTTGGTAGGGTCTTTTGTAAAATCTTCTGGAAATGCAGCATCTCCAATTTCTCTCAAGTCATACTGCAACATCACGACGGAAATACGATGTTGTAATTAAATGAACCGTATTATCAAGTTGTCAAAACATTTAGATGATATACTTACGTCTAAAGCTTTTCGGCTTATGATGTTTACATCCTGAATTTCACCATTTTCGCTAATAGTATCAATCCCTTCCTGTGTGAGATGCCTGGAAATATACAATATTCGGTAATAAAAGTGCAATCAAAGATGCATATCCAGATTTTTAATTCGACAACTTACCAGCCTAATTCTTTTAAACTCTCTATAAGTGACATGTTTCTAATTCTATCTAAGCTATAACATAAATTCTGAAACACTTAATAAATAAAATAACTGATACGAGCACACCATATTTCAGTTGCCTACAAAGAGTATATAAAATATTTTATATACTCTTTGGTTGCCTATTTGTCAAACAGGCAGAGAGAGAAAGAGTGAGTAGTAGAGCCGACAGATAAATAAATCATTGTTTGATATTTTAATTTATACCAATGCACAGATTCTTTATACGTTAAAACATACAAATTGAAAATTAATTTAAAATGTTAGGCATGCCTTTACATTTTACTTTTGAATAACAGGTATCATTATAAAATATTGTGGATAATCTTGAAATTATTGGTTTATGTTTACTCTATTGAAATTTGAAATGAGGTAAAGGGTCATTAACCTGTCAAATTACGTTTACTTTATTTGATAAAATTTATCTTTTGATAAATTGATAAGGAATTATTTAATATATTCTAATCTCCAATAAATTACCTGTACTTTTATACTTTACAAGAATACGAACATGTCATCGGTAAGAAATAAAGAATTAACTTCTAAAGCGATTCTTGAATAATTGATAAAACTAATTAACTATTTTGTTACAGACCCATATTTTCAACGTAGAAATGACATGCGAAGGCTGCTCGGGTGCAGTAGAGAGGGTACTAAACAGGTTAAAAGGCCAAGGCGTTAACGAAGTGTCTATCAGCCTTCCTGAACAAAAAGTATCCGTAACATCTTCTCTGAGTGCTGAACAGCTACTAGAGGTTATCAAGAAGACGGGCAAAAAGACAACCTATGTTGGAACACAATAATGATAAATCTTTGCAAAGTTATGTTAAGGAAATCAAGGCAGGTATTAATGTTACAAGCTGTGAACCAAGTTTTATAAATATTGTAATTCAGTTAAACTTCTCATTAAGAAGAACATTTTATAACTTTGTAGTTCTATGTGACAAGTTTTAACATGATTTTATTCTTTGTTTGTAAATAAGAAAACTGTTATCAATATTAACTATATTTTTCAGAGTACATTATTTAATAAATTTATTTTCATAAACAATTATTTTACTTTTTACAACTAATTAATAGCTACTTCTTCTAAGGTATTAAGTCTCAAGTCAACTATGTCTACAGCTTCATGCAAAGCATTTAAGTGATCGACAATAGCATTGACTGTAGGTAGAACATCAGCACAATCACACTCCTTTATCTTATTCAATTTGCTCGGCAAGGGATCTGTTTTTGCCCTTTTAACACAAGTTTCATTTTTAGAACTGTGGCTGTCGCTGATAACTTTAAATCCAGAGTTTAAGGGAAATGTTCTCTTGCGTCCTACCCACTCTATTGTTCCACTTGTATAACAAATGTCAGTCTCCTTGAGTTTAATCATCCCAAACAAATCTTCTTCCTTATTGCCTCTAGCAGAACAATTAATAACAGATGGTACTCTATATGTAGAAGGATTTGGAGGTGTACGAGGAATGTGACTTATATGGCCAACACTAAATGTTGGAGATCCAACTTCTGAATCCATGTCATTTCTTGTGCCACTTCTAGATGGATTTCTTTCAAATGTGATGTTTATTGGATCAGAAACATTCCGTAAGTTTTCATTAGTTTCTTCATAGAAAGTACTGCTGGCTACAGGTTCTTCTACATTTGAAGGATCATCAAGGTGGACAAATCTGACAATGGGATACTTGGAACTGTGATAGCATTTGTACCATAACCTTGCACCCTAGTTCAGACGAATTTTATATTAAATACTCGTCAAATTAGTCTAATAAGGTCCACTTCAAACTGTGCTTTCTTAAATATTTGTAGAATTATTTCAATACTATGGGAGGTGGTATCTACAAAATAAAACTATCTTAGGATGAATTCATTAAGTAAGAATTTTTAAATACTAAGATCTTTTCTCCTACATAAAACGAAAGTTAACAAAACTCATATTTACAGACATATGTACTCAAATATACAAACATAAATACAAGTGTGTGCAATATTTACTAATATTATTTGCCATTTTTTTTAGTATTTACAAGTATACACAATACAAAACAACCTCTTTCCAATGCTGGTTAAATTAAAAACGTTTGTATTTATCCAGTTTTGTTACAAAGAATGAGTTTCTCATTCTGCTACATTAATCTTTAATCGTTATCTATAATATATTAATCCCTTCATTACAAAGATCATACCATATCCTATATTGTCAAACGTTCTATCGTACAGAACTGACTTAAACATCTTTTAAAAAAATTAAATTTGTCATTAAATAAATTCTTTTAAATATTTATTTAATGACAAAAAAATCCGCAATAATCACTCTTTAACAATTTTTTTGGAAGTGCATTTTGCGTCTTACACACTCCTATAACAACTAAGCATTGATGGTTTAATTTCTTACTATTATAATATGAACTAAATTTACTACAATGATAATCTAATTCTACAAATGTTATCTCTTTTTCACAACCTGAGTTCTTCTTGTGGATGATGCTTTTTGTGAAGCGCTTTGTGGTGCTGGTTTAGATTGATTGCATTCTTCATTTTCTTTACCTTCATCAGCAAATTCAGTAAAGTTAGTACGCCATATGAAAACCTACAAAATACAAGCTGTATTAATAAGCAATTTCAATATTTTATATGACCTGTTTCAATATATTATTTACCATTTTGTCTTCACCACCCGATGCAAAACCACTTCCGCTTGTTGAAAAGTTGACTGAATTGACAGCACCATTGTGTCCAGTTACAGTAAATATAGGATGTCCTTCAAGTAAATCTAAAATCTAGATAAAAAATATAATTGTCATAACTCAGAAGTAAATACAATTATGGCCTTAGTTTTCCTTAAAATACCTTTATTTTGCCATCTTTCCCTGATGTCAAGATGTAACTCCCACTAGGATGAAAAGCCAACTGTGTCACTGCATCAGTGTGTATGCTGAAAACATTCTTTATTACAATAAACATCATATTATTAACACTTTCAATAGCACAGACATGCACTGCAAATCCAATTTAATGCATAAAATATATTGGCATTGAATGTGTTATGGATTAAATATTAAAAGATGTAAATTACCTATAATACTGGACAAGATTGTGAGTTCTAATATCATAAACCATAACATTTCCATGTGATGATCCAATAGCTATGTAACAACCAGATGGATGCCATGATAGATGTGTGGCATAGACCTTATGATCCTTATATTCATGTATACACTTCCCAGTATCAGGACTCCAGAGCCGAGTTGTCTTATCATCAGAACATGAAGCTATCACAGACCCATCATGTGACATTCGGGCACATCTCACCCAGTTTGTGTGACCCACAAATGATGAAATAAATTTATACTTCTCACTTGACCACAACTTTACTATCTTATCATCTGATGCTGTTAATATCTACAAGAAATTGCATAAGGAAGAAATTAAGATTAATTGAAAAATGAAATTTCAGTTATCATTTAAAAATTTTGTTTGTGGTGATATTAAACTTTACCCGTGAGCCATCAGGATTAAACTGTACAGATCGTACAGTTTGGGAGTGTGCTTTGAATACTCCAGTACTGCCCGTAACTGTTGGAACCCACAATCTAATAGTCTTATCACGGGATGCTGATGCCATATACTTTCCTCTTGGAGAGAATGTTACATCCATTACAGCTTCTTCATGTCCCTGAAATCTGTAACTGCGCATGGGCCGACTCAGATCCCATAGCTGAAAAAGCAATAAAAATTATATCCCAGAGTAAAAGCTTTATGCAAAGATCAATATTTGTCATGCAATATTATGATCTCCCCATTTATTTTAATCATTAAAATAAGTGGAAAGATTGTGTTTTTGATTTTTGAATTATTTAAATATACACATAAATATAGAAATTTACCAAAACACTATGGTCCATGGAACTGCTAGCAATTTGTGTATCATTAGGATTATAATATAAAGCTGTAATTCCACCATGGTGACCCTTAAGTTGTTTTTCTAAAGTTGGTTTAAGGGCACTAGAATCCATTATTATTATCATTTACTAGCGAAGATAAATCTTAATCTGTTTTCGGTTCTTAAACATATTTGCATATATTCAAGGCAACATTCGATAACAATCGTAAAAATCAACTACTAACAAAACAAAGGAAAAGCAAATTGGGGAAATTTAAAAAGACACCAATTTTTAAATTCTGGCTTCTGTCAAAATATAACAACATTGAAATTCATAGATAAATAACCGGAAATAGAAATGTCATGTGAAGTCGGATATCGTCCTTTGGAATATTGAAAAGAATCGGCTAGGAAATATCTAAATTATATTTCAAAGGTTATTTAAAGTTCCTCTTCCATCACGGAATACTTTATATATTTCAAAGTTATTATAGGTACCGGTTTACATAAAAATAAACGTGTTAGATTTCGAGTGCAGATTAAATAACATTTATGGTTTGGTTCACTCTGATTATCTGATTCTTTTCAGTCAAAACGACACGAGGTATTTCCTATGTTTTGAATGTAATTTTATTAATTATGTCGCAAATTGAAGTGCTACACAACTAATATAAGGTTTCTGTACAGCTGTTACTGGACATTTCTATTGTTTACTTGTTATTCTAGTCTCTGTCAGGTCTTAAGAGGTTTTAGTTTAATATTTTGATCGCTACCACCGGGTACTTGCCATAAAAATTCCTTTATTTTATGCCTGTAGTCGTGTTTAAAACTTGGACATTCTTTTCAGTATCGAGGTAATCGAAATGTGAAGTGCATTAAGTTGTATTACAGTTTTCTAGTTAATCAAAATAGGTGAGTGATATAAGTTTTTTGTCAAAACATGGAAATATATTGTTCTGAGCAACGTCTATTTTTTAAATATATTTTTTTTTTACTTTACTTACACTGTATATATTTATAAGAGATGACAAGGTCTTATATTTTATTGTTTTACATCGACAGCTTTTGTTTGCTGCAATGAATGTGGAGGCAGTTAATGGTGACATGGCTGGGGAGGTTGGTCTCATAGCAGACGAGTTGAGCCGAGCAGTGGAACTTACGCTGAATGCAGCCGTGTCACATGACGCCCGCAATCAAGCTTACAATGCTTGTGAGAGGTAACACTACTACTATTTCAAGACTCTTCACCCAAATAAGCACAATAATGAGTCAATTCCCACAGTGAAAAAATTTATAGTGTATACTATTATATCACTCATAAAGAATATATTTTATATCCATAATCAGAGTTGTCTAAGGACTTCCTTGGTAATCACCAAGGAATTCTTTTAGTAATATGAAATCTTGATTAAGAAACTGTTATGTCAATGAAATAATTTAGTAAATAAACTCCAAAATAATTTATTCCCAAAGTAATTTTTAATAATTATTTTTATATTGCAGTTTTAAAGAAAACTCACCATGGTGTGCTCAAGCAGGGCTTCTCTTAGCAAGTGGTAGTCAATATTCAGCTGTTGTTAAACATTTTGGCCTGCAGTTGATGGAGCATACTGTGAAGTATAGATGGACACAGATAACACAAGCAGAAAAAATATTTATTAAGGTAAAACCATCTGATTATATATTGGCTGACTATGATTATTTCAGAATAAACGTTGCGTCTTTCTAGTTTTTTTTTTATTATTGTTAATGTCTATTTTTTTGTGTAGATACCACAAGTTTTACATATGTCATATTTTGTTTCAGGAAAATGCAATGAAGCTATTATATATGGGTGGTTGGGAGACAGGTCATCTTAATGATGCTCTAGCTCGGGTTATAGTTGAGATGATCAAGCGTGAGTGGCCACAGCAATGGCCTACGCTGCTTGCAGAACTTAGTGATGCATGCTCTCATGGACACTTACACACTCAAATAGTCCTACATGTTTTCCTGCGGCTTGTTGAAGATGTGGCCACATTACAGGTTAGATTGCTATTCCTTGTAATTATGTACAAAAATATTGTGCAGATCATTTTCTCATATACCTACCTAGTAAACAACAAGCAATAATGCTGAATGAATTTTTATATTATTGAATTAACAATTGAACAGAAAAACAATAGAATTTAAATAATGACTAATGATTTTTACTTGATTATATTTTTTTACATTTTACAGACTTTGGAGCAACATCAACGTCGCAAGGACATTTACCAAGCACTGACAAGTAACATGGCTGAGATATTTGCATTCTTTATGCGGCTAATTGAACTTCATGTTCAAGAGTTCAGAGAGAAGACTGCTGCTGGGGATTATGCGGCTGCCGCAAGCAATGGTCGTGTTGTACAGGTTAACATATTAAAATATAATTAAATAAAAAAAATTATAATTGCACCAAAAAAAATTGGTAGGGTTCTGTCTCCTGAACTAGTTAAAACTATGTTTTGGGTGACGGTGAATATTGACAGTCTTTTTCATATTAGTGCAATAATTGAAAAAAAATTATTCATTGTTCTGTCATATCTGATATGCAGAAGAATGTAATAGAGAATTAACAATTGCATTTTTGTATGTATGAGTTATTCTTTAGGTGGTATTACTGACATTGACTGGTTTTGTTGAATGGGTGTCCACAAACCATGTTGTGATGAATGACGGTCGACTGCTACAAATCTTATGCATACTGCTGCAAGATGAAGTGTTCCGATTGCCAGCTGCAGAGTGTTTGCTGCAAGTTGTCAATAGAAAAGGCTCTGTAAGTACTACATTACAAAATTCTATTACAAACAAAACATCCTTTATGTGTAATAGAGTGTGTTATAATTTAAAAATGTATTTTATGATATTCTTTTCTAGACAAAGGAACGTAAGCCACTAATGATATTATTTAGTGAAGATGCAATCTCATCAATCCATCGTGCAGCACTTGCCAGTATTGGAACTGCTGATGAGAAGCAGTACTTGTTCCTGAAGAAACTATCACAGGTATAATAAAAAACTATATTATAGTTAATTTGGTATCATTAATTTGATATGATCATGATATGGCTGAAGTGTAAACCTGGTTGGAATAAACACATTTGTTTTTTTTTTGTATTTATTAATAATATTTAATATTGGTTGTTCATGGTGAAATCAGGTATAATTATATTTATTTCAGAGGTACAATAAAATAATTTTAATATTAGTTTTCATCAAATAATGTTGACTGTGTAAACCTGTTTGGCATATCTGTAACTTTTTTAGGTCTTAGCAGGATTGGCGCAGCAATTGACGACGCTGTGGTCCAACGCCAGCAACGTGGAGGCTTGGCTGCCAGTGCTGCTGGAGACGACGCTGCTCCTCACCTCCCACCCGTCACTGACACTGGCACACACCGCTAACTCTGTGTGGCTGGCATTCCTCAAACACGATCATATATCCAAACTGCCGCTGGTTGTCGCGGTAGTACCCAGGTGGCTTCAAGCTGCCGCTCCTAAGGTTTTAAAAGTAAGTCTATATTACCTTTAATTAATCGAGTAAAGTTATATCTTCAGTTTTGATGGATTGCCAATGTTATAAAATATTTTCTTACTTGTTTATTGTTTAGAAATTTGAAATTTATTAATTTTAAAGTTAGTCAAATTAATGTGGTACATGTGTTGTTGCTATTTATATAATTTGTAATTACAAAAGTTTTTATAGTATTATAGCAAAGTTATTTCCAGGTATCCTATCCATCTTCTCGAGCCAACGGCGTGTCTGATGAAGTGGCGTACGCATGTATGGATTACGACAGCGAACAGGAGTTCGCGATATTCTTTAGCCGTTGCCGAACTGAAATATTGGATAGTTTTAGGTAAGGTAACATCTTACAAACTTTTATTCCAAAAGTACTCAAAGATGGAAACTATTTACTACAGGTAGTTAATAGTAAAGCGATTACATTGATATCTTTTATTTACTTGCGTGTTCTATTTACTTTGAGTAAGATGTGTTAATCAAAATTGTGACTTATTTCTGCTTACAAATACATTATGTATGAATGTGTTGTTGTATGGTCAGGTATTGCATGATGGCGGCGCCGCTGGTGACGTGGTCGTACGTGGAGCAGTGGACGCAGGCGGCGCTCGACAAGGTGCACTCCTGTCCGCCGCACATCGACGTCACGCACCCGCTGCATGTCGAGTGGGAAGCTCTGTCTCAGGTAACCTAAAATATTGAATACACATTCGTTTATAAAAATGATTTCAACAAGATTTTTAACAATGTTTAATGACCTTTATGTATTTTTTGCCCTCTGTCTTGGCTTAAGTTTTCAATATATTAAAACAATGCGTATGCTATAATTAAAACAATGTGGCCCAAGCACCGTTTGTGGTGCGCAGTGGCATCCCCCCGCCCCACCCCGCATCACACAATACACCTTAAAGTGTGTTCTGCGCAAAGACTCGCGTTAAGAGGTGCCGAGATATCTTATATTGCATGTACATGTGTGTGCAGGTGCTGGATGTGGTGTTGTCGCGACTGCTGCAGGCTGAGCCGCGGCCGTGCGCGGCGGCGGGCCTGCGTCTGCTGCGACGCTGCGTCGACGCACAGCCGCGATCCCCACTGTTGCTCTCCTTGTTGCTCTCGCTCATTTCCGCACTATTCGTCTTCCTCAGCTGTGCATACAGCCAGCTAGCCGGTTTGTGACTATTTGAATTTAAAAAAATAAATAATAATAACTGGAATGTAGTAGATTCGATTGCTGGACAGAAATATAATAGACTTGGCATTATTTTTAGGTCCGGGTGTGGGTGAAGCGGGCGCGGAGCTGCTGCCGCGCGTGTTGGACAAGATCTTCGCGGCGCTGTTGTATGAGGGCGAGCCGCCCGAGGACCGGCGCTCGCGCAGCGTCAAGAACGTGCGCAGACACGCCGCCGGACTACTCGTCAAGCTCGGCTCTAAGGTACACAAAAAGCTTTGAAATAAAAACTAAGATATTGTTAATGTAGCTTTAGTAGGATAAATTAGAATTAAGTAAGAATTCAAAGCCTTCATAAGTTGCCGGGCGTACTTTAGTTTACGTAAGATCTTTAGTAAAGTATTTGCGCAGTACCCTCTGCTGCTGCTGCCGGTGTTCGGGCGGCTGAACGAGATGTGCAGCGCGGCATTGTCGCGGCCTGACCTCAGCGCGGTGGAGAGCGTCACCATACAGGAGGCGTTGCTGCTCGTCTCCAACCACTTCTGCTGCTACGAGCGGCAGACAGCGCTCGTCGCACAGGTAAAACCACACAAGAATTAAATAACACGACGTTTTTGTTGACAACACCCAATTTTATTAAAAAAAACTTTGGGTGTTGTTGTTTGTACCCCCCCAGACTGTTTGAAGAAGTAAAAATGAAATAAAAAAAGTCTTCTACTCTTCTACTTGAAATCTTAGTACGTAATCAGTAGTACATGATATACTATTTCTGTTAGGTACTGGGCGACTGCAGCTCGCGCTGGGCAGCGCTGGCCCCGCACGTGTCATCAGCGGAGGCGCTGGCGCGGCTGGTGGGGCTGGACGCGCCGCCCGCCGACGACGAGGAGCGCGGACGCGCGCGCAGCACGCTACTGCACGCGCTCACGTTGCTGCTCGGCGTCGTCAAGCGCACGCACGTGCCCGCTGACCCAGACAAGTTAGTCATAGTCAACTCATGTTGTGCTCAAAATGTCATACTAAGAAAATCTTTAAATGTTTAAAAATGAAGAGATACAATGTGTAGCATAGCACATTAATATCTCAGCGGATTAATATAATATCTGATATCGATTTAAATAGGTTGTAGATCCATAGCATTAGAACAAAATTAATATCGTAGACATGTATTTTCTTTCCATTAACAAGAGCATTGCATCCCATCAATGTATATGCGTGTTTGTGCAGAGCGTCTCGCGGCGGCTTTGGTGCTGGCGTGACGTCATCGGGCAACCCGGTGTGGCGCAACCCGTGCAGCGCTCACGTGCTCCCGCTGCTACCGCACGCGCTGGCACTAGCGCGCGCGCTGCACGAGCTGCATGAGCCGCGCGCAGTCGCATTGCGACACCCCGCGCACCGCCGCGCCCTCCTCCCTCCGCCCGCAGAACGGCACAACTTGCTGGGCCTTCGCGATGATGCCCCGCCCGCGCCCACAGAGCCACAAGATCGCATGCAGAACTACCTCCATACGCTGCATGATAACGTGAGCTAGCTTATTATTTAACAAGTCCAGTGGTAGTGGTGGAAACCGGAAAATGAGAAGTACATACTTTTGTATCTATAAACAGGTGTGTCACCTGGTGGGCGCCGCTGCGGCATCGCTGGGTCGAGAGTTGTATGGCGCTGCAGGGCTGGCGCGGTTCGTGGCGGGCGCGCTGCTGCACGCGCCGGCCTGCCTGCCGGACCACTGGCTGCGGCGAGTGCTGCGTGCGGCGCTG